GGAGGGGTCGACGTGAAAAAGTGACGGGACGAACAAGTCGTGCGCCTGGTGGTAAACAACACCCCTACCCACAACAGGTGTCGTGTCTAAGAGCTTTAAATCTCAGAGATCTGAGGGGCATTGCCACTGCGCCCGTCACCCTGAGACATAAAGATGCCAAGTCCCGTGTGCCAGTTACACGAGGCGAAAGTTTTTGCGCCCAGTTACCACGCCTTCCTGTGCATTAATGCCGAATCTGAATTCTATTTACTACGTAACAACGTTTAGATTCCTCTGAATAATACATCCACGCGGCCGCCGCGTTGACCAAATTCAAGCCAGACTCGCCCGCGTGGCCGGGACGCTCATTTAAGTTAAAACGTAAAAGTTAAACAAATAGAGCGTATTTTGCCACGACAGTTAGACGCATGCGGTCGCTGCGCGGAGGCAACGCGGACTACGCTCGGCGACCGCGCGGGGTGAGCGCGGTGAAATTCGTGTCTAATAAATGCGCCCTTACCCTTCAAAACAGGATCGCAGTAATCATTGACTTACAATTATATGGACGTCGGGTCCGCGCTAAAAAGTGTCCGAACTTATAGGGCGTTCAAATCGAATACAGAGCGTCATTCACGCTTTAGTCTTCGTTTGTTCGACTGACAGCGAAGCAAGCAAAATTAGACAGTACTGCGATGACATTATAATTTAAATTCAACGTTTTAGCTTTTTTATATTCCTTTACATGTCACTACGTTTAAATAGGTTGACTTGGGACATTTTTTTCGTGGTTTTTGTATTAGACCCGTCGTCCATTTATTTGTAAGTCAATGGCAGTAACGCTCAAATTACTGCTTGGCGGCAGAAATAGGTATAGTGGCAGTACTGTCTTGGACGAGTTCTTTCACAAGGATCTCTTCCGTTACTAAATACAAATAATTATTTTAAGAGGGAATATTTATTTTTCTGCCCCCATTACTTGTCACCTAAACTGACCATCGAAAGCCGTTCAAGTTGGGATTCGTATTTAATTAATATATCTTTAATGTGCACCGCAATAGCCATACCATCGAAAGGTCATTATAACACTTAGGCTCAACTCACACTGGCGCAGAGTCGAAGAGCGTCACGTTTTTCGCCGATAGCATATTCATCTCTATATTCCCATTATTAAGGTACAAATTTGTGTTGTGCAAATATGGAAACGGGCATCGACGTGAGTCGTCACGCGTCACTTGAGCGCAGTGAGGCGTCAGACGCCGACCACGCTGTGATCCGGGCGCACGTATGCGAGAGTCGTCGCACGACGACGACGTTGTACTTGAAAAACAGGTTGCGACGCGACGCTTCGATTCTGCGCCAGTGTGAGTTGACCCTACTCTTATTAGGTTAAAGCTCAATCAACCTGCTCGGGTTTTCACCGGGTTTTTATCAAAAGCAGTTGGTTTTAACCCGTCTCGGCCTAAAAGCGTGGGCGCAAAGTAAAATAATGTTGGTATAATTCTATACTGTGAGTGGCGCTGTAACTGTTATAGACAAACGTGTAACTTACGACTTGTTCGTCCCGTCACTTGATATTACAAAAAAATACTTATTAGAAATTTCGATGTGAAAAATCTTTTTTAGACGAACCTTGCATTCCTGTGAACATTCACTTACTGCTAGGCATTTACATTACCATTCGATTTTCATGAAAATCGATTCAAGTGTTTTATTATCGATTAATTTCAATGCGATTTTCAAGCGAATCGATTCAATAGAAAGGCGAAATATGTAAACAAGCAATAAATATTTTGTAATAATATCGTTGCATCTGGCGTTCACCAACCAAAACGCGGTTAAGTCACAAATGGTCAAATATCCGTTTTAAATAGAAAAAAAAGAGTACAAAATTTTCTTTTAAAAACAGTTAAAATTATTTAAAGTGTTCGACTTATACCTACCTTAACGATGCTTAACTGAAATATCATTAACCAGTTTCAATATTCTAAAACTGAGTTATAGTTTTTAATGATATCTCAAAAAAAATATTTTGTTTTGTTACAACCCGTCCATGTCCATATCTGGCTGTGACTTGATATTTCTACTATTACATTATAATTTTTTTATAACTTCTTGAAACAGTACAATAAAACATACTTTCACAGAGTTTATCAGTATAATCAATCAACAATATAACAAAATTCAATTTATCTTAGTTAATATGGCTGCTCCATACTTGACTAGCCCGAATGAACCTCTTACAAAACCGACCAAAGACAATATCTGTCCGATCTCTTAAAACCTCCCACCAACGTGAGTTTTCAGCCTAACCTAACCAAAAACTCTAATTGCCAAAGTTGCCACTATTTTGTTTAACATTCTCTATTTATTTATTTTTATAAATTAATGAACCTAACAACAGTTTTCTTGAGGTTACCTACACATTTTTAAAACACCAAGACGCTCAAAACAATATATTTTACGACTAAAAAAAGAATAGAAAGCATTATAAGGTATCAAAATCTCACCTGCGGGAAATCCCACCCTTTCACAACCTTGATCGTTGCGAATATCATATTCTGACGCATGCGCAGCTGTTTCCTCTGCCACAGTTGGATCACCTTTGCAAAAAAATACAATGACAATATTGTGATAATTGTACTTAACATATTTCATTTGATGAATAATATTTATTAAAGATAGGGCGGGGCTGTGGTCATTACTTGAATGCAATTGAATATCTTCACGAAACAATAGAATTTCAACTTCTTTTGACTTGTCTAAGAATTTAATATGTTAATTGTAGAATTAAAACTATTTGCCAAGTTTTATTGAAATCGGTTACCGGAAAGTGCGCGTTCTTCAAATTTAAATGGGACCAATACTGAGGTGCCCTCTTTCCAACAAAAAAGGAATTATTAAAATCGGTTCACAAAGTCATCGCGTAACAAACATAGAAAAAAATACAGTCGAATTAAGAACCTCGTCCTTTTTTTGAAGTCGGTTAAAAATGAGACTTTCGCGTAATTTAGTGATTTGCTTTATTCAGCGAAGTTAGTCAATCAAGTTTCGGGCCACATAGTGCACTACCAGTACAGCTTCGAGGTCGCTTTTATTATTCATTACGTTCATCTACGGACAAAACAGTTAAATTCGATTGTTATTAAAGATATATCAATGAAATATTAATTGAAACAGTCCACCACGATACCATTTCGCCTAAATATGCATATCGTCGGGGGTGGAGCAAATCCGCGTACATATGTGGTATTGTTAAAAGGGACGTATCTGCACCAAACCAAATTTCAACGTTATTACCATTGACTTACAAATAAATGGACGACGGGACTAATACAAAAACCACGAAAAAAATGTCCCAAGTCAACCTATTCGAAATTTAAATTGTTATGTCATCGCAGTATCGCGCTGTCCGTAGAACAAATGAAGACTAAAGCGGAGTGTCGCGCTCTGTATACGATTTTAGCGCCTTACAAGTGCGGACACTTTTTAGCGCGGACCCGACGTCCATATAATTGTAAGTCAATGGTTATTACTTTGTAATTTCAACGACTATCATTTTTGCACAGTAAGTATTAATTTATGTTTTCTACGGACTGATGACAACAGATTCCCGTAAATCACGCACATTTACGCGTATTTGATTAGGCGACTAAATTATGGAAATGGAGACACATAGTCAAATGCTAGTCATGCGTAATTGCACTATCCCCGGCGATATAACATTTTTTACGTGAAGTATTTGAAATATAGAATGCACTGAATTGTTTAACAATTCGTTATTCATACTCTTCAAACTAACTTTTCTATATAGTCTCGGGTCTGTGTGTTTGTGATACCATCGTAGTTACCGATTTCCATAACACGAGTGCTTTAGGTCACTTTGGGATCAGAGCAACGTAAATGATGTAATATTTATTTATTTATTTATAGCCAATCAACCTATATATAATATAAATTAATTTGTACTAACTTATTCAAATTTTAAAAATGAATAGTTAATATATGTACATGTTCAGAGAACAATTTCACTGTAGGTACAATAATATTTATAACATTTTAATTATGAACGACATTTGTAAATACACGAATTAATATTGCTGAATACCTTTACGAAACAATAGAATACCAGCATTGCAACACTAGCGCAAAAGTTCCATACGCGAATTAACATTTTTAAGATTTATTTGGACATATTGAAAAAAGATCTACGATTATTATTAGGTATTGAAAAATACCAGTTAACGCTTCGGTAATATTGGAGAGACTAAAGTATTAATTATGTTTACTATTTGGATTTGTTTAGATGTGTAAATAGTAAATAACACGGTCGGCCTCAATAATAAAGTGACTTAGTCGAAAAGTAATATTTTTGTTAAATTGATAAAAATTTAAATAAATTTTCAGACAGTTTTTGTGATTTTGTTTTGTAAATATTTATTTGTGTCTTACATGTGAACGCTTTGGTTATGTTTTGAATTTTGTGTTCTGTTTTATTTATACTTTTCAAATAACCTCAAAAAAGGAGGAGGTTCTCAATTGGAATGTACTTTTTTGTGCGTATTGTAGTGTATGCCAATTGACATACCTACACGCTGTCTCGTGTCGACCCCTCCGACGTAAAGTATCGTATGTCGAAATTGCCAAGTTTACAGGGAAGCGTTTTAAAGTTCTGAATTCACTGAAACGAACATAACACGTGACTTTAGCATTTCTCAGTTTTATTCGGCAAAGCTTATTACTCACATAAAGTATTATAAAATCCTAGATATCGGTTAGATGATCTATGGTGATCACTCTTTCAGTGAATTCAGAACTTTAAAACGCTCCCCTGTAAACTTGGCAATTTCGACATACGATACTTTACGTAGGAGGGGTCGGTGTGTCCATGCGTGGATACACCCAATTAGTATCACGAGAGCCGTTGGCGAGAGTGGACGGGATATTAGGTCGTGCATGATAGTGACGAACCAGTGTTCTCAGGAAAGGAAGCTAAGATAACAAGTGATTTATTATCCCGACGATTCTTTCACGAATTAACATTTCTAAATCATATTTCCATGATGCTTTGTTTTGTTGAAAAGGGGGTACCTCAGTAGTGGTCCCGTTCTAATTTGAACAAATTAGAAAATGAATCACATTCCGTTAATCGATTTCACTATTTCAATAACATTTGGTAAATAGATGTAATTCCACAAACTTTTGAGAATGGTTTTTATTTAATAATTATTTATTGTGTGTCATTTTGGGGTAGTCATATCACTGTATTTTCTTTCTTTTTAAATAACGTATGTAGCAAGAGCCAATATGCCATTTTTCCTGGAGCCAAACATGACTTTATTAGATGAGAATAAAGATTTATTTGAATCGATTTTAATTCAAATGTAACTTTTTGGATTTGGTAACTTCATGGAGGATGTGGTATGAAATTATTCTATTTTTAGTTGTTTGTTATGACATTCTGGTAGACATACAACTTACCCTGTCATACGCGTTGCGCAGTCGGGAGGCCGCGTCAATCGCCTCCTGGCATGGCGGCGGTAAGGCAACCACTGCTCCGGGCAGTTGGACCTCGGTACCAGCCCCACCAAGACGCACGCGCCAGCGACTGCGTCCGGAATTGTCCACAACTGTTACAGCTGAACCCTTTTCTATTTGTATCTGAGAATAAAATACATATTTTAATCATTTGAAAGCAATGGGCAACAATCATCTCTAGATAGGTGACGTAGTCATAATTGTTGCAAGATATCTTATATTTTATTGTTTTTAATATATTCTGTCATTACTGTTGGGTAATTTTCCGAAAATAAAACCGTCGGGCCTTTTTTTCTCATTACAGCCGACCATGGTCGGCAAGGAGTTTTTTTTTAATTTGCAGCTCGACATACTTCTTTACATACGAGTAGGTCAGGTTCAAGTTCAGGCAAGGAGGTTACTTAAGTTCAAAATTAAAACATTCGCTTAAACTGTTATCAAAACAGAAATTAAATTGCAATTCAGCCACATATACTTAAAAAGTTATTATTAAAAATTTCTTATAATTGATTATTTTCCGTATCAAAATTTTACAATTTTTTTTTTATTTTACAATCCATCATGGCTTTATGCGTGTTTGCTTTTTGCAGCTGGCCATCTATTGATAAAAATAATAACAAAAAACCCGTCATTTGCAAAATCTATTATTGTTTTGTTGTGAACCATATTTATTCATACGAGAAATAAACATTCTATTAATTTCATCGCAAATGTGATGAAAAACGTTATACGTATCACGGACGGTAAAAAAAATACAAAACTCGACATGTTAAAGCCCTCAGCCTTGGGCTTCGGGCTTCTAATAAGCCCTCGTTAGTAATTTCTTATTAACCATCTTTAAGATACAGTGTTTATCAATAATTAAGGTTATATATAGAATGGCTTTTTAAGTTGCTTATAGACTATAATATCCACTTACATTAGCATGTTTGTAGGCACAAACAGTCTCGGCCCTTAACGGTCGCGTAACAGGCGACCTTCTCTGCTTGACCGGTCTGATCTCCTGGGCCTCCTCCACGATCCTCGACACGTTGTTGCCGTGAGCGTTGAGCTCTTCGCGAAGATCTTGCATGCCCTTGAGGAGTCGCTCGCCTTGGTCGAGCGTGAACTCCGATTGGGAGAACGTCGTGTTCAGGGCTTCCTCGCGTCTGGTGGAAATTTTATAAGTTATAATGACGATTTTTTTTTATAATATCAAGTGACAGGACAAACAAGTCGTGCACCTGGGGTTAAGTAACACGCGTGTCCATGACAGTTGCAGTGACACTCACAGATTCAACCGTAAAGATCTCAGGGGCATTGCCACTGCACTCGTCGCCCTGAGACATAAGTTGGCAAGTCCCATGTGCCTGTAATTTCACCAGCACCCTTACCTTTCAAAACCGGAACGCAGCAACCTTCACATTACAGCTTGGCGGTAGAAATAATTCTTCTAGAGCTCTACTGCTATTAAAATATTATTCTTTTTGTCTCCTTCATCACGAAGAGACGTAACTTACAATTTTGACGGAAAAAAGTATTTTATTGTATATACGGTCTTACTGGTTTCGAACCAGCGCTTGTTGCCTCACTGTGGCTACCGCTCTCATCAACTGAGCTATAGAGCGAGTCAGTAGATTTTCGAGTTTCTCTATGTGCCAGATGCGACAAAGGTTCGCATTTTGTCTTAGCTCCACCTATGAGAAACTTATGTAAATGTTACCATGCGAAACAATTTTCTTAACAAACTACTTACTTCTGTATCCATTTCTCTGCCTCCTTGACTTCTTCAAAGAAGTTATGATACTGCGTGGTGTGCTTCAGGTGGGTCTCCAGGCAAAGCGTTAGCTGCAATACCCACGCCCATTGCGATTGCATCACCTAAACAAAGAATAAATTATGATCATTATGATTTTTACAAATTAAAGAATATATGTTACAAATAAAAAAGGCTGAATTAATTACCCCTGTGGAACACTCTCATGTAAGGCCAAACTCCTGTGTTTTTTGCATACTCTCTAATCAAACTAATCAAATTAACTTAAAAACATTTGCTAGAAGCTCCAGGGGTTGCTCTTTGTAAATAAACATTTGTACGCATTTACCATTTACAATATTTATTTCAAATATCGTTCGATACAACCTGGAGAATCTAAACGGGTCACTACCACATGACTACCACGGATTTTTGTCGTCCACATACGCAGAAGCTGTATAATAACCTTTAGTATAAAGTGTGAATGAATGAATGAATTAAATATTCTTTATTGCACATTACAAATTACAACGACAAAACAGTAATATAAGTATCACAGAGTAAGATAATGTACAATAGGCAAAAAATAGCAATAATAATAAGATAAATATACACAGAAGATGATAACACTATGCAAAAGAAAAAAAAAAGATCCTTAAAACGACGTTAGAAGCAAACAAGAGAAGGGGATCGACGAATAGGTTCTGGGAGAGAATTCCATAGACGGATAGCAGATACATTTGTTTCACTTTAGTTTGAAACCCCTTGAATGGCATATTTTGAATATTAACCGGAATCTTATAATAGAAGTGTATACATAGCCCCTTAAATAAATTTGTGACTTTGTGAAGATGACTACCAAGAGCAGCCAGGTTATTTTTATTCCTCGTATTCAGAGTCGACACTATTCAGCTCGAATTAATACTTTTCCTGTACGTTTTATTTCAGAATTTAGTTTTTTACAAACAAAATGGAAGCCATTTGAAAAATGTATTTAATAATAAATAATAAATAACGCACACACTCAACATAGGCCCGTACTAGGGAAACCCTGTGTCGCGGGTGCCATGGACACACGCATAGACAACCACAAATTACACCCAAACTCACGAGAGAAATAAATGTAAGCCATACAAACATTTCTCCCGGCCCGGGAATCGAACCTGGGACCTCTGCGTGGCAGTCCGGCCATGGTACCCGTTCAACCACGGTGGCAGTTCAGTATATCGTATATTAAACATGTTCTATTTAGTTTAGTTGATATAAAAAAAAACATTGGTATATGTAAAATACCTATTGAACACTGTAACGCGAAATCAACCAAATCGTTTGAGGTTGTAAAAAACTTTTCATAAAAAAAGTACGTCATAGAAAGCAAATCTGTATACAAGTCTGTAAACCAAATTTCAACAAATTATCCTATTGATATATCGAGTTCTTAGGTTTTCGCTATTGTTACACATAGGAAATGAAACTATTTTTCCGGATTTAAATCGCGTATATGAGTTTTTTCAAACAAACCGACGTTTCCGGCCCTTTACAGGTCCCATGGTCACGGTTGACTGAGGTGGTAATGTCTAATATTGATGCAAACCACCTTATATTTTTCACTATAGTTACAATAGTTATTAATTAAATACCTTATTTTTAATTTTACAAAGAAAACATTCTAATTTACGCTACATTAAGTTTTACAAATTATTTTATTGAATGAATTTTTATTAAGTTCAATTTATTATTAATTAATAATAGTAAGTAGAATGAACTAAAACGGTTTGTTTGTAAAAACAAATATACGCGATTTAAATCCGGAAAAATAGTTTCATTTCCTATCCTATTGATACTTTTCATTTAGAACCAACCTGTAGGTGGGATTCGATGGTCTTGGTAGCAGGGTGATGCTGCGCGATGAGCGATTCCCCGCGGTCGATCACATTGCTGAACTGCAATTCCCGTTTCTCCAGAGATGACATCAGTTGCTGTTGAAATTGAAAGGGTGTTTAATTTAGGTACGTGTCTTTTAAAGTAAATATATATGGCACATTAAATATGTGTATATATCAATGCAGTGCTGATGGAAATTGATGACTATAAACCTTTGAGAAATGTTTAAGGCTTTTCGAAATATATTCACAAATCGAGTCCGAGAGCCGGTATTCAATAATAATTTTCCAAATTCTTTATTGAGACCGTTGAATTGAATACGTTTGTTATTAATTTTTTTTTTTATAACATCAAGTGACCGGACGAATATGTCGTGTGCCTGGTCGTAAGCTACACGCCTGTCCATAGCAGTGTCACTAGGAGTTTTAAATCGCAAAGATCTGAGGGTCACCGCTAAGTTGCCAAGTCCCATGTGCCTGTAATTTCACCAGCACCCTTACCCTTCAAACTGGAAGCTCGGAGTTCTACTGTTACTAAGGTTAAACATAATCGTTCCTAACAAGATGTTAGATTATTGAGTAAGAAGAAAGAAAAGCACATCAATTCAAATGATAGAGCAACAAAAACAGTCGTAAAAATAACAACAAAATAGTGAAACCAACCTCTCTATCATCTCCAAATGAATGCTTGCACAGAAACAAACAGAATGTTAAAACTAATCATAACACGACGCTGACATTACTGCTTGGCGCCAGAAATAGGTTAGGTGGCAGCACTTCTCTGAAGGACTCTTTGACAAGGAGCTCTACTGTATAACTAATTTTTTTTGCATTGTCTTTTATACCCATATATGTGATTTCCTTTTAAATATGCTAATAAAATTTCAATATTTAATTTTTAACGTTTAACCTTTTCAGTGTCGAAGAAAAATGTTTTTATTGTATAAATAAATGAAGCTTGATGATAGGTGTAAAGTGTTTACATTGCATATGCAGAAATTGTGTACGTTCCACCTGTGCTTCTATCATGAGATTAATATCAATTAGGTCGGCCACAAATATTCGGAATTCCGTTTCGGAATATTGATTCGAGATACCGTATGTACATCACACACATGCGTTCATTTCCGTTCGGAATAACAAGACTCAGACTGATGCATTGAGTCCAGAAGTTCTCGCAGCGAAACTACGTACAGAATTTACTGCTGTGAGTTGCGGCCTTACAAAATCTACGGAAGACATGCATTCGGAATGGCTTGTTCCGTGCGGAATTCCAAATGCTCATGCCACCATAAACCATAACCACACGGATTTTCGGGAAAGAAATTCGGACGGAATAGTACTGTATGTGTGTGATAAGTCCGTGATTTGTATGGTGTTGCGGTCTACGGAATTCCGAAACGGGATTCAGACTGTATGTGGCCCTGGCCGCTAGAGCCCGCACAAAGTTCATGTATGACAAATTGAACATCGCCATCTAGCGGTTATAATAAGAACTATAATTACCATACAAATATTTCACAAAGTAGTAAGCAATTTTCAACATTAAACATGGTACAAGTACAGTTGGTTAAAAAACTATAGCTACATGAATATACATATAGACATTTTAAGATTTATAAGCTGTGTTATCCATTTTAGAATGACATATCTTAAGCCTTGTTGTAAGAGCATATCAAGGAAATCGCTCACCTCATAGTAATGTTGTACAGCAGGTAGATTGATGTGTGGGTCGGCCCAGTCTCGGGACAGTTCGACTTGCTCTTTCTCGTTTAGCCAATTTAACTCGGCCGTCGCTGATTGGAGGAAATCTTGGAGGGCATCTAGGTCTGATATGCTGGGGGTAGAAAACATCGTTTAGTATGTGTCAAAAAGGTAAGCGGTGGAGGCTCTGGGTTCGATTCCGGACCAGAACCTCTGAGTTTTCGGAATTTATGTGCGAAATTTTATTTGAATTTTACAATGAGCTTTTTAAAATATCCTAAAAAAACCTGTACATCGAGGAAGGTTCACAGCCCTCGAAAAACGTGTGAAGTCTCCTCTAGACCTCAAGGACACTCGGGTTGTATGTGCTCGGTAACACAGTCGCTGGCACTTATTGACTTAAATATTGTAGTAGATACTTAATTACATAACTATACCAATGATATTATACTATACTAGTACAGATACCCAATCTCATACAAAGAAAGAAATGTCGCACTCGTAACTCTGCTCATTAGGACTCTTATTTTGATTCTTAACGGTGATCAATAGATGGTACCAAGCAAACCCATGATGCGATTATAATAATATTCGAAACGACCAACAGATGGCAGCTACTACAACATTGTGAAGGTTATTTATTGATTATACAGTAACATAATAAAGCCGCAAAAAGCTGAGTAAGTTACTTTTAATATTTTAAAATAAAACTCGGTGCTAAAACGTAACTTAGTTTCGAGATTAAATTCAAAGACGTGCCATCTACACAATTTATTGCAAACTAACAAATCAAATGGTATTTATTACCAGTAACAAAAGTTACGATTTGTTATTTTTTTACCAATTTTCATAATTGTCAATGAATTTTAATTGAACATTCTTAAAATGTTGTTTAAAAATAGTTTTGCATGTATTTTTTATAATATATGCACCTTATTTAATACCTCATACCTCAAAATTTCGAGTTTCTATAATTTATATTTTTTTATTTTTCCAGGTGTTGATGACACCATCTACAGTTTCAAGTATGTACTAAAGTAAATTTGTATAAATTGATACCCCATGACACTACTTTTTCTCCAAGATGGAGTAATGACGTTTTATTCCAGGTGTTGTCGACATTTCTATCGTAGAGCATGGACAAAATTTTGCAGAACCGCATGAATAGTGAATGTTACTACGTTCTAACGACTACATACCGTTTAGTGCTAGTGGATAGTAGTTCAGCATATGTCTTCTGAAGTTGACTCAAATGTTGATTATACAAGTTGAGTTCTTCACCGCTGAAGTTGGCTCGATGGTGCACACATTGTTCCACCTGCGAATGTAATGGAGTTGAAAGGGTTAATGCAAACAAATTTTGTTTAAGTCAGCTTTAGCGGACTTTTCAAAAAAAAAACGAAGAAAGGGCGGTTATTTGGTAATAACACTTAAATTTTACGTATTACGCTTAAAGATTCCGTATGTTTGTAGATATTTCCATCAACAAGCTTTGCGTGAGCACTCACGCAAAGCTTGTTGATGGAAATTACTTTCCCATCCTGAATCTTTTGGTGGGTTAAAGCGAAAAAAAAAAAAATTAAATTAAATTTAAAAAACCCCCAATGTCATCATCATCATATCAGCTGGAAGACTTCTAGTACTGAGCATAGGCGTCCCCCAAAGATTCCCAGACCAGATCCATCGTTTACCCGCCGCCCTTACCAGATCATCCGTCCATCTAGTAGGGAGCCGTCCCACTGAATGCCTTCCGGTTCGTAGTCTCCGTTCAAGAACCCTTCTGCCCCAACGGCCGTCAGTTCTACGAGCTATGTGCCCTGCCAACTGCCACTGCAACTTGCTAACCCTTTGAGCTATGTCGGTGATGTACATTGCACCTCGTATGCGATTCAAACGTACCTTAGAATGGAATTGATCGATCTGCTTGTGCTCCCTCTGGTGTTTGTCGAGCTCGTGCAGCACGGACGGCAGGTCCGACCCATATTCTGATTCATGCAGCTTTTTCTGAAAGAATGAAATTGCATTCTGAAAACTAGATCCCGGAATAGACTAAACTTGACGTAATACAGCCACATGAGAGTTGTCAACTTATGTCTCAGGAAGACAGGCGCACTGGCAGTGTCTCTCAGATCTTTGCGATTTAAAGCTCTGAGTGGGATTGCAACTGGTATGGACAGGCAGGCGCTTAACACCAGACGCGCGACTTGTCCGTCCTATCAATAGGTATCATAAATCCTCTCTGTCCTAATTGAAATTCAGTGCTGGGAACACATTGCGTTTCAAACACAGAGTTAAGCGTGAAACACATAGAGAGCGGGTGTGAGTCGGGCGCGAGTCGGGTCGGGACCGCGAGACAAGTGTGTTGTCGTCCATATAAATATACGGAATTAGACCCGAAGCGCTCTTGACCCGACACACGCCCGACCCGCACCCGCTCTCTTGTGTGTTTCACGCTTTAGTGACCCTTTAATTACCGCAGCTGACACCACACAAAGTATTTGAATAAGGTGTGTAAGTGAATAAGGTGTGTTTTAATTTAATTTTGTTTGTGATTTTGTTTTTTTATTATTTATTTGTGTCCTGCGTTTCAATGTTTTGTCTTTAATTCTTTTTGTAATTTTTTTTCTTTTGTGGTGTCTTTTGTATTAATAAAATAAATGTATTTTTTGTGTGCTATCAATGTGCTATCAATAATGTAGATTGCTAAATGAAGCGTGGTGAAGCTTCACCCAAATAAATTCCTGCCAAAAACTAAGGAAAAAAAAAATTTATATGAAACCTTTTACGATCTATCAAGTATGCTAGTCGTAATCATTCGGTTTAATAAAATCGCAATCGGGTAAAAATACTTGTATTTAACCGACGTGTAATCGTGTTACACTTACCAGCTTCTCCTTGCACCACCTGATAGCTTCAGTTAGCTGCTGGAACTTGGGATCAGCGTCATGGACTCTGGTCTCGAGCACGGTGCGGGTCTCTCGCCGGACCGTGGTCTGCTGCACTGGCATGCGGACGGAAGACAGACGAGGGAGAAGACGGCCAGTGAAGGCCTGACGCGCGTTCAACCAGCGGTCATGGATTTGTTGTACTCTGGAATGTTAATTCATCATGATTGTAATTGAACAATAAGTAACATACTCGTACATATGATTATGAATACAAAGATCGAACACAAAGAAAAATTTTCGTCGACCCGGTGGGACTTGAACCCACGTCAATGCTGCACCGTAGCATTGCTCTCACCACCTGAGCCACGGGTCCAGTTACCGAGTCGTCAAAATTCTTCTGTTTTGTTATAGATCTTCGTATTGAGTTTTCGGCATTCGTCACCGCTAGTGACACCTAGTGAAGATTTTTTTTAAACTCATCTCGTCCTTTATTGTATGCGGAGTTATTTGACTATAAAAAGAACCGAAATAATATAACAAAGTCACTGACCGTCTATGCAATTCGTTGGCCTGCGGATACCGTCCCTCCCTTAGCGCAAGGGCATCCTGGAACATCTCCTGAATAGTATGCTCCATACTCCTCAGCTCCTGTTCGATCTGTTCGGCGGCCATCTTGGCATCGGCCGGGTGTACGCCGCGTTCGACACGACGGATCTCGGTTTCGATGTGTCGTTCGACGTTGTCGAGACCCGATTCTGTCTGTTTTATATCCCTGTGAAAAATATGTAAACAAATATTATTAACGCACACATTCCTAGCCCCGCACTAGGGAGAACCTATGTCACGGGTGCCATGGACACACACAAGACAACCACAAATTACACCCAAACTCGCGGGAGAAATAAATTTGGTCATACAAATATTTCTCCCGGCCTGGGAATCGAAACCAAGACTTCTGCGTGGCAGTTCAGCATGGCATTATAATACACACGACAAAAAAAAAAGAGTTTGAGGAAAGTAAAACAAGTTAATATAATTAACTTGTATATAAGATACTTTTTTAAGTGTTTTTATCAATCAACGGTTCTTCATACGCAACAGTTATTAGGAATTATCATAACTATTATAATACAATATTATATTATTATATAACTATATAATAATACAAATCAAATCTATAATAATAATACAAATCAAACGTAGTGTGAAGAAGCATTTGGCCAGACCGGCAAAATGATAGTGACGGAGTGAAGATATTTGTGTTTTCCATCCGTTACTCTCATCTCTGGACTGTATTCGCACTTTCCATCAGGCGCGGTGCAGTCATTTTGCCGAGTCACAATAAAAAAAAAAAAAAAAAATATCACATACACAACATCACATAGATTGCATCTGATCCCAAAGAAGAAATAATCGTATTTTTATATATTTTAAAGTAACTAAAGTACTTGTGTTATGGAAATCGGAAACAATGACGATACCACAAACATCCAGACCAGAGACAATATAAAAGTTTTTTTCTACATTAACCCGGCCTTGACGGCGGCATTGCAGGCGACACCATGAAAACCGGTGTGTAAGTCACTCGACCACGTAGGTCATCAAAATATGTTCCATGAAGGGTGTTTAATTTTTTTATGGTCCAAAGTATTGTACGATCAAATCGTCAAATTGAATCCTAACTAACTAACTTTTAATCAATTTGAAACTTGTGATGATACGACCTTTTTAATCGCCATTCCTTTTATCACCCTTTTCTCGGTTCCTGGCCACTTACTTTTGAAATTTTGAATCATTCTCTAATTCGTTTTCTTTGTCATTCTTATTATGCTTCATTCTGTAATCACAGGCCCCTTTAGGGATAAGTGTCAACTTTATAATCATCCATAAGCATATCGTGTGTAATTTAAGCTCGGGAATGTTTTATAGTATCGTACCCACGGAAGAAAAACAACAATGGAAGTGCCTTGCGCCTCAATTACTATCAGAACCGATGTCGCCAAAACTCACACATTCTTAATTTGGAACACTACAAAATCTTGATATTGATTGGTGGCAGTTTCAATTTAAAAAGAAATAAATTCTGGGCTGTTAATATAATTTAAACTTTATCCAGTCGGGTTATATAGTTGAACGTTCACTACCATCATACCTACTATTGCAAAGTTAAGTTTGATATTATAATGAAATTTCAATCAATGTGCTGCCATCTAGCGGTTAATTGCTGAACGACGTCGAATTGGAGTCATTAATTTAGTTCTCTAAAAAAGAAACGGCCATATTGCAAGGGTGTAAGCTTTACTTTCGTTTCTTGTAACATAAAAAGGGTAATATCTTTGGTGCGGCTATTATTTTTACACTCCAAAACAGCACAATCAGGGATTTTTATAGGATTTTAGAGAATTTGCACGAAAGAATGAAACAACTATACCATACAAAGCACAAATGGCGTACTGAGCTAAATTAGGTCTTTCGAGACCTATAGTTGGCATGCGCCGGACGCTAATAACTGTAAACTTCTAAACTTTGTAAGCAGTAGAGCTCCTTGTGAAAGAGTTCGTCCAGAGAAGTACTGCCACCTTACCTATTTCTGCCGCCAAGCAGTAATGTCAGCATGACTGTGTTCCGGTTTTGAAGGGTGAAATTACAGGCACATGGGACTTGTCAACTTATGTCTCAAGAAGACAGGCGCAGTGGCAGTGCCCCTCAGATTTTTGCGATTTGAAGCTATGAGTGGCACTGCAACTGTTATGGCCAGGCGTGTAGCTTACCATCAGGCGTACGACTTGTTCGTCCCCTCACTTATAATTATTACATAAAAAAACTTCTAAAACTTCCACCGTATTTATTGTTCTGTGATTGTACTTGTGATTTATAGCATTGTTTTTGTTACAGCCTCTCTATCCCTTTCTTTTCCTTTTCCTAAGTTGTTATTTATACCTTCTACAATAAAATTAATATGGACTAAGCGTTACTCTTATTATTATGCTGACAAGCTTGAATTTTGGTAGGACTACGATACAAATTTCGGTATACCTGTGGAGTTTCTCAGCGAGTCGCTGTAATCTTTCCAGACGACGGATCTCATCAGTAAGATCACGCTCTCGTTCTTGATGGGCCATGAGTAGTCTGGACCAAGCTTGTTCAAGTGCTTCTGGTCGTAAAGTTGGCTCGATGTCGCACTCTCCTACTGTTTCGAAATATTTCTGGAAGAGACAAGGCGGTTTTACTATACAAGGAAGTTATATGCGACGCTACTGATGATCACGCTCTCCAAAACCAATTAAACGTTTGCACATGTTGACATGTTTTATTGATTTTAAAAGATAAATAGAAAGACATACATAAGCCAGGATTATTAAAGATCTCCCACGACTATTTTTAACTGACTTCAAAAAAGGAGGTCCTCAATTCGACGGTATGTTTCATTTTTTTGGGAACCGATTTTGATGATTCTTTATTGTTGGAAAGAGGATACCTCGTTAGTGGTCCCATTTAAATATTCCACCACTAAGGGTGGTAAACTAGGGGATGAATGCGGCTTTTGTTCACTTTCCGGTAACCAATGTCAATGAAACTTGGCAAATAGATGTAATTCCACGCACTTTTGAGGTCTGTTTTTAATTTTGTAAAAAAGTTAGAATTATTTCACCACATGAGATATCTACGCGTCTATACTATGTTGCTTTTACAAAATTGCCTCGAATAAGTTATTGATTCTTCGTCTCCCGTAATTGTGAGATACATACCTCTAGTTCCCTGTATTGGTGGAAGAGCTTTTGCTTCTCGCGCTGGCGCAGCGGCACCTCCTCGTTGCGGAATCGAGTGCTCTCGCTCAGCAGCTTCTTCATCTCGATCAAAGTTGACGGGAAAGCACGGTCCTGTGCAGAAACAAGTATTTAGAAAATTATAACATCGGACAGTTAGTTTTCTTACTTCTAGCAGGAGTAAAGCTCCTTGGGAAAGAGTTCCTCCAGGGAAGTACCTACTGCCATCTTACTTATTTCTGCCACCAATGTAAGCATGACCGTGTTCCGGTTTTGATGGATAAGGGTGCTGGTGAAATTACAGGCACATGGGACTTGTCACCTAACGTCTCAGGGTGACGGACGGAGTGGCAGTAGTCTTAAGATCTTTGCGATTTAAAGCTCTGAGTGGCACTGCAACTGTTATGGATCTGCAAATGTTATGGATTAAAAGAAAATCTTAATTCGCGTTAATGAGCGCAAATTAAAAATAGTAAGTCTTTCCAAAATATAAGGTAAATTGACTCTTTATAAGTGTGAGGATATCATTTAAAAAAACAATAGACTTATAACACACATCAATTGTAATCCCTTAAAACCTGTAAATACATAATATCTGAAGATAACTTTTCGCCCATTAATTCACTTCTATCTCCCTTCTTTTGTTTTTCAAAAAACCCTATTCAAATTTTTTTAGTGTCGCCATTTTGTTTTTCTTATTGATTATACCCATCGAGTATATAAAATTCGGGCTGGCCAATCGGGCGAAGATGTCACAGTAGTCATTTGGCAGAATAGTTTTCAAACAAATTAAATAACATTTAATAGAGACGAAAGTCTCTATTTTTAGGTTATATACTCGATGACTATTATTCCCAAATCGAATCGCTAACTTATTTTTTTAAATCTCATAGTTATTGCAAGTAGTATTCAGCATTTTAAAGTAAATAATTGATTATATAGCTTTTGTTAATACTTTCAAACCGGAGGTGATATCCTCCTTCGAACCGGATTCTACAGATTCTACTCCTAGAAACAAGGCCACCGACACCATCCCGGTCAGCGGGTTGGGTCTGTAGACCCCTTTAGACTTCGTGTCGGATACATGGTCGCGTGCCAGATAATAACAGACATTCGATCCGGATAAATGTCTATTCGAATAGGACATAACAAGTTCCATTGTTTGGTTCCAATGTTAAGGTTTTGAGCAAACGCCTCTTACCTGCATGAGCGCGCATTTTTCGTGAAGCCAAGCGCGATGTTGTGCCGCCTGCTCCGTATACGCTGCGGCACGCCTTTGGGACTCTGCGTCGAACAGCGGGTGCACTGCCGGCGGCTCGGGGAAAGTCTCGTATAGAGACGAGATATAGGTGATGAGGGACTTCTCGTCCGGTTCGTGGGTGTCCACATCTGCAAAAAAAGAGAATATTTATAAATAAATTATTCAAATAATTATACCAATAACCCGGTTACAAAGTAGGGAGTGCCTTGTAACGTAAATAACTGAGTAAAGAAACTAATCCTAAGTTTAAAACTTATATAAAAAGTATTTTAATTGAAAAGTCATATTGCAAAATTGAAGAGCGTGTTAAACAAAAGTAGGTTCTAGAATCCATACAAAATTGTTCAAAGTGTATTCCATAGCATTTAAGTTCATTTAAAAAGAGCAATCGCCAGAGTTCGGGGAAGTCAGCACAGTGAACGAGCAGTAGCTTAAAAAACGATGTTACGAAGTGTAAATTTATTTTACCTATGAAATATGATTCTTTTGACATTGACTTTGTTGACACTGGGGACAATATTCGAACAAAAGTGTATAACTTGATGTGCTGTCGCCTATACAAAATGTTTAATTTAATTATTTAGAAACCGACACTTATCATTAAGAATGTTTAACTTTTTAGTAGCTCTACTAGCCTCTTGTGACAGAGTTCGTCCAGGTAAGGGTGCTGGTGAAATTACAGGTACATGGGATTTATCAACTCATGTCAGTGGCAGCACCCCTCAAATCTTTGCGATTTAAAGCTCTGAGTGGCACTGCAACTGTTATGGACAGGTGTAGCTTACAATCAGGCGCAAGACTTGTTCGTCCCGTCACTTAACTTAAAAACTACTAAGAAACCAAGACTATATCTACCAATTCCCAAAACTACCTAAAGCACCAACTTTGCGTACTGCCCATGGTGTCGCGAGAGATGTAATGAATTGCCTGAATTCGCGACTCATGTCTATTCTTTAACGTTTTCAAGCCACGCCTTTTCTGCGACCTTCTAGCAATCTTTCCTTTCAACTTGTTTTATTATTAATTTGCATTCCCTGAATTGATTTGCTTTATTGCATCACTTGTCAAATAAAATTTTGCTTTTTAAGAGTTCGATGTTTAAAGAGAAGTGTGTTCACCATATGCAACAAAACGTTCTATCATCAAAATCACAAAAGACACAAATTCCTGTTGAAAGTGATAACATGGGTTATCAAAATGTCCTTGACTCGCCGGTTATTGGTTTGACCAAATTAAAATCAGGTGTTGGCAGGTCCCATTGGGCACGTTTACGGCCTATTGTTCTTATGCTCGGTGAAGAATGTTGACGTCATTCAGCCATATTGTTGGGCGTCCATGTTTAATTGTCTATGGAAGAAGCGATTTTGGACGGTATTAAATTTTGTAGGTAAATGGTTGAACAACACGCTATAATGATATAAAATTTCGATGAATATAATTGTTACAAGAGTTCTATAATACTTTGGAATAAGATTTGGATTTAAAAAAAATTAATTAATAGATAGGCAAATTCATTCATAATATTCTAGTACCCACTACCTAATCCTAACTATATGTTAATTCCTCCTCCGAAAAATCAGTATCCGGTCAATGAAAACGAATGATTTTCGTCATTATAGACCTTTTTAACCGATTTTGAGCAAAGGAGGAGGTTCTCAATACGACTTTTTCAAGTGTATGTTAGGCGAGTATTCGTTATATTCTATTCAAATTAGAAGAAAATATTCCACCCCTAATGGTGGCAAATTAGGGGATGAATCCGGTTTATTGCATTTCAACCACTTGCAATTAACCGATTTCAACAAAACTTGGTAAACAGATTATAGATTCCACTTTTGAGACCGGTGTTATTTTTTTAATTATAAATACAATTTAGAGCTAAAATGTTCTATAAAACAATGATCTCATTACCACACTATTGCAGAATTCAGGTCACCTAAGACTTTTAATTTGACACATAAGCGCCCAGTTACAACGCCTTCATGTACATTAATGGCGAAACTGAATTCTATTTATTAGGTAACAACATTTAAATTCCTCTGAATAATACAACCGCGCGGTCGCCGCGTACACTAAATTCAAGCCAGCCTCGCCCGCGTGCCCGGGACGCTCGTTTGAGTTAAAACGTAAAAGCTAAATGAATAAAGGGTATATTGCCGTGACAGTTAGACGCACGCGGACTCCGCTCGGCGACCGCGCGGGATAAGCGCGACGAAATTCGTGTCTAATAAATGCGCCTTAAGATGCCTATTGAAATAAAACTATTTTTCCGTATGTAATTCGCGTATATTTGTTTTTTCAAACAAACCAACGTTTCGGGCCCTTTACAGGTCCCATAGTCAAGGTTGACTGAAGTGGTGCAGTCATCAACCAGTTATGTCTAACATTAATGCAAACCACCCTATTTTTTCACAATAGTTACAAAAGTTATTAATTAAATACCTTATTTTTAATTTTACAAAGAAACATTCCAATTTACGCTACATTACGTTTTACAAATTATTTTATTGAATGAATTTTTGTTAAGTTAAATTTATTATTAATTAATAACAGAAATTAGAATAAACTGAAACATATTAATTAGTACTGCAGTCTTATGTCTGTTTGGGATTTTTAATTAGAGGAAATACTGGATCCCAAACTGTGTTACGTTGTGTGGTGGGTGGGACGGAGAGACCGTCTTCCCTGTTTAAATTAGGATGTTTTTTAATTTCAATGGCCTCTCGCAGCATCTTGAGTAATGGACTTCTTTTGCAAGGACCTGGGGTTTGTCAAATTTCATTGAATGTGTAGTTTATCCATGACAGCTCGCCGACTGCAGACTTGTTTACGCGACGGTGTTTGACATCAGCTATATTTATAGTTCTTTGACGCGGGTACAAATACTAATACTACTAAATCCGGAAAAATAGTTTCATTTCCTATGTGTAACAATCGCGAAAACCTAAGAACTCGAAATGCCTATTGAAATTAAAAAATATTTTTACTCTCAGTATTCTCACGTAAAGTCAATCCTCTTGGCAAAACAGACACGATGCAAATGACAGCCATTATGCGCGTATGCATTGTTTCTTATCGCGACATCTGCTAAAGTTTAAGTTATTATTTACGCTACAATTTACAATTTTAAGTATAATAATGATAAAACGCAGTGCCTGCCATGCCAAATTGAAATTGTAAGCAAAATATTGCGCGTTACAATGTTTCTTTACGAATTGTCTTTTGACCAGAATTGTTACTTGGTTTATCTGCCAAGGAAACTATCTCACGAAATTAAAATTTCACAATACTTTATTAAGACTACCTCAGTATACTTAAGCCTTTTAATAGCTCTCAAGAGTTGATTAAAACCTCAAACGACTTTGCTTGTTTGTTGATAGCTGTTGGCGCTGTACTATTTGAAGGTCCGAAATTGTCCGAATTTCTGAGCAAACGAGAGTTGATATTTAAAAGTTATATAAGGCCTACTTGCCTGATGAGATGCCAGTGATGGATGGCCCTTAGTTCGTCTCTATTTCTGGTTATATACTCGATGTATTTACGAATCGATAAGTACAATCATCTCCAACTCGCAATAGTGCCACCCAACAAGTATGGAAGGTATACCTAAAATTCTCGATAAAAAAAACAACTCACTCGATATGGATGACCTAAACCACCTATTTTAAAAGCAATTGACATTGACTGACGCGTCTCATGTCAAAAATGACCCCATTTTTCACAACTTGCACTATTCCTTTCTAACGACCTTATTACTTTCGTTTTAAAGTTTACTATCCCCTGAATCATGGAACAATATTTACTCTTCTTGTCTTGTCTCATAATTATTTTCTTATTACAAAAGACTTAAGGTTGAGATTGTTGTAATTTATTAGACTTTATTATTAGAATAATTGTAGACGAGTTGAAGGCTTATGGACAGTTTCCCACGAAAGCTAAGGTCAAGTTATTGGACATGTTTTGCCTAATGTCCTTTGTAGAATATACATACGAAAACACGGAATTATAAATATTACTAAGCAATGGCCGCTACAAATATAATTATTAGCACCACAAATACATACAGAGTTATTTGTAATATACTAACAACCTCTCAGGACTACATTACCAACGTCATTAACGACCATTTGTACTCCATTATTTTTTACAGAACATAATACATTTACCAAAAATTAACTTCAGGTACTATCTATCTATCAGGATGCTGGAACTCGGATCATAGAACTCAAAAGGGGCTGGGCGGGACACCTAGCAAGGCAGGTGGAGCAAGACATCGACTGATTGGTGGCCGAGGATGGGCAAAAGAGAAGCGTCGGGCGCCCTGTTGCAAGGTGAGTCGACGACATAGTACGCGTCGCGGGGCGTCAATGGATGCGGTTCGCGAGGCCTATACCCTGCAGTGGATGAAATCAGGCTGTAGATAATGACTATCTATCTGAAACTTTTCAAATGTTCCACGTCTATGTTGTGAATATCCCAAAGATTCGCACGAAACGTTTCGCTTCCACATTTATATGGAATGTGTGATCGAAGTGGGATTGGAACAAGTGAGCAGAGACTTGTTCCCCGAACGCTAGAACTTGGGCCTTTTCAACGCGAGAATGAATCGGCACTATTTAAATCTGCATGCTACATCGTCGAGTTCATCGTCGCTTTCCATCAGGTGAGATGGAGGTCAAATGTGCACTTATTTACATATAAAAAAAAAGGATCTGTATTTGGTAGCAAAGTAATGAGACCAAACATGCCTTTGTGTTGGCTACGGGCTGGCCGTTTTTCCCACACCACCGAATAGGACAGCGCCCCATAGTTACAGATATTATCTTAATTACAAGAAATACAGAATATTTTTCGAATATAGAGAGAATACACACAGGTCAGTTGCTGGCGCTGTACTATTTCAGTTTTCTAATTTGTGTTTTCAGCGCTAATGAGAGTTGATATTTAATAGTGATATAAGGCCCATTTGCTTGATGAGCTGCCAGGGATGGGTGGCTCTTATTTCGTCTCTATTTCTGGTTATATACTCGATGTGGTTAATAAACGTCATATAGCAACAAATTAGATTTACTATATATAAAATTTAAGTTAATGAACTTTTTGTGACCACTTAGTAGAAACTTACCTTCAGGATCCAAAAGCCTGGTGACTCCATACTCCTTCTCGACCACGTGGAATGCCGTCTCCAAGCGCTCGCGGACTTGTCTTGACCTGATATGACAATAAATTAAATAATAAGTGATGTTGAAACTGTAGTTCTATCAATTAATTAATTTCTCTAGAAGCACAACTAAGAAAACACTGACGTGACCATAGATATATCTATGGACCAGCATGCTGATTTTGATTCAAATCGGAATCAATGGGGTGGTCTCGAAATCGGATGGGTTTCTGAGCGAGAAGATGAACCTGATTCCTACTATATCTTTCTAATTTGTGAGTTAAATCAACTATTGTTCCGATTAGAAATGTCAAAAGTTTCCGATCAGCCAGTTGTGAGTCGCAATTATGCGCCTCGACTCGGAAGAGACGCAGTTTCCAATCGGGAGAGTCAATCAAAATCAAGCTGTTGACCGAGTGAAACACCAATTTTTGCTCTCTTACCATTGACTTACAATTATATGGACGTCGGGTCCGCGCTAAAAAGTGTCCGAACTTATAGGGCGTCATTCACGCTTTAGTCTTCGTTTGTTCGACTGACAGCGAAGCAAGCAAAATTAGACAGTACTGCGATGACATTACAATTTAAATTCAACGTTTTAGCTTTTTCATATTCCTTTACATGTCACTACGTTTAAATAGGTTGACTTGGGACATTTTTTTCGTAGTTTTTGTATTAGACCCGTCGTCCATATATTTGTAAGTCAATGTCTCTTACTAAGGAATTCCCTGTACTATGAGCACCATACTCCGTACCGTACTCCCGTACTTCGTCCGACATTCATCTGGAACAATTACTGTGAAATAAGTAATACTCGACCAAATTATAAAAGACGCATCATGCGAATGAAGCTTCATACGTGACATTGTCTTTTAATTAGTTCGAGCGGTACTTATTTGAAAGTAACTGTTTCAAGCAAATGTCAGACGGAGAACTCGCTGAGACCTCATCCAGCTCCTACCGTGCAAACCCTTAGGTTACCGAGATCGTCATTTAAGTACTTGTAGATAGGTTTGCAGGCATAATAAAACTATTGGGATACACTGAATTTTTAGAACTATGTATACGAATAGAAAGCAAATATGACATGTTCATGGCAGAGTTACCGGCATGAGTAGCGCGAACAATCATTACCTTCGATAATACACAAAGAACATCCAGATTAGAATCCATTTCCCAAATTGGTCCTACCGAATCGAAACCTGGACATCCCACAGCACAAACAGTTGATCATCCAGGTCATCAGTTCCATAAAAACTAACGAGACTCGAAGCTTGCCTCTAGAATACCAGTGTTCACTAACATTTTACTACATTATGTTGATTATGCTGAATTCTTTGACTTACCTGATATTACGCCAGTCTACCAGGTCAGGACGGTTCCTATGAATGAGCGCGTTGAAGGCCATGCCGTCTCGCCATGACGACGTGAAGTCTGACACACGGACGCCGGGGTACTTGGCAGTGGACCGCCGTGCCCATGATAGCAGGGCTTCTCGAGCAGTTACATTCGGTTCTTGGCCCACTACGATGTCGGATATCTGTAACAGAAAAAGTAAAATTAGTTTGCTTATAAAATTACCCTAAATCAACAGGATGATGTCTCAATGTCTGCGAAACCTCCAAGGGATCATTCTACCTATCAATAAATTTACTGACAACACCTCAGAGATCACAAAAAGAACCGTTGTTCCATTGTTACTAACTAAATGTTTAAGCCTGCCTTGAATACGCCTTGAATAAGCAACCCAAATTGTGGGGTAAATCCGTGTCTAACGAATACCAGAGAATAAAGAAATGCATTTTGTGAAGTAAAGACTATTTCCACCTAGACCCAAAAACAATTGTTCTCCCGACTTGGCTACCACATGATTTTGAATATTTTATAGTAATACTATTGGCAGGATTCGATGGGCAGAAGCCGCCTAAGTCGATATAACTATTATTACAGTAAAGCAGCATTGTCATGTTCAGAATTGAAAGCCAGCCAGATAAGAATAGAGAACGCCAGAGCAATCACGGGTTCAGTCTAAGAATTTATGTTCCATGGCCGGTATCACATATGGCATATTAAGGATCATTGCAAAAGTTTATACTACGTGGTCACCACTTTCCATCAGGTATATAATCAGGTAGATCATCTGACAATTTGCCGGTTTGTATGCTATAATAAAAAAAAATATCTACGTAATTTCACCTAAAACATTTGCTTTCGCGCACAGTACAATTATTCTTTTGTACCCTTTTGTATTTTGATCGCATAATTGGATGTATCTTCTCACGACCACTTTTCGATAACGTCTCGGTAAGATTTAGAAGCTATTGTTTTCTGTTTTTTTAATTATAATCCTGGAAATTAAATTGTTACTATAGTGCCTATTTTTAATTCAATTGTATTTTTTTGATGACATTTACTACTATAAAGTTCAATTGGGGCGCTAGTCATGTTGCAGAATTTGAAACATCCATTTTTATATTATTATTGATACTTGGATCGATCATAAATTTATTAAGGAACATTGAAAAATAAAGTTAACGAGTCAATTTCAGTCACATTTTCATAGATGAACAAAAGACACTACCGAGTTTGCCTTTGATCACCCAGGTGACGACATCCGGGTAATCATAGTGGAGTAGACCGCCTTTAAGGTAAAATATAATGACGTTATAAAATACAATGGTAAGATATAATTGAGAGGAAGATAGAAGTGAAAAGAAAGAAAAGAACACCAAGAATGGCGTTAGTGAACAAATAAAGAAGAAAATGAAAGTAAACAGCTATAAGGAGATCAAGGAGCTGGATATGAACCGTAAGACGTGCAAAGAGGAGGCTACATCGACAAGAGCCTGGGTCTTAAATATGTTGAGTGATGACTATGAAGTTGATATTTTAATGAGTTTTGTGATATTTTTTACAAGATTTCTACAAAGTTAAAAGAGTAACTCTAAAGAGACTGAGGCTCTAATGTCCGAGCCCAACATTATTGGAGGCTAAAGCAGTGAGATTCCGCTAGATGGAACACGTCGAGAAAATAGTAAATGATCGTGCTTTGGAAGGAGCATATATGAGGCGTACGTCCTACGTATCAATGGAACCATGATATCCATAAAGACCTAAGGTATCTCGGTACTGGAGATTGGCAGAAAATGGCATGGGCGTGGGATCTGAAGGCCATGACAACTGCGCTGCCGTAGTAAATAAGTACGATACGTATTATTCGTTCTTTTCAATGGAATCTTCCCTTAGAGTTATTAAGTAACGCGAAAAACACAATGAATCATCATCACTGGTACTTTCAGGTGTGATTTGTTACCTATTTAGTGTTATAGTCCATGGTCAACATCGCGTTATCTTTTTCTAATTTGTTAAGTGGCCGTAACTTGTTTTACGCAGTTTAATACATAAATAAACCTGTGTAATAAGAATATATCCGGAATGAGAATTTTTTTACATTAATGAAGAAGTAATTTGTAAAAATTCTTTATTGAAATTCGCACCTTAAGACATTTATACAATGTTCAAATTTGTAGTATAAACTTTATCTACCTTGACGTAGCTATTAAAACTAAATTTAATTTCAAGACAGTCAATAAAAAAGCCATTATTTTTAAGACAATTCAACAAATTGGACACAAAGGTCATCACCTAATCATGCCTATGAAATTGAACGAAAGACATAGGAGAAAGCAAATCGTAACCATTCGAAGCTGCTAAGACTCGAACTTGTGCCAGATTTTCTACGAAATATACGAGACTTGCTGTAGAAAATCCAATCAGGAAACATTACCGTCTTTCTGGGACAGTTGGGCAATAAATGACTACAAATCAGTTTTGCAAATTGAAGGCTAATAAGTTCAATGTAGGCCCTTGACTTGTGGCAGACAAACTTATTTCTTGTAACACATCATTGATGTCAAAAGTCGACTCTAATGACAACATTATAGAGTTGAAAAGTAACTGCAACAGATACCTTTAAAAAACTGCAGTAACAAAATCAACGTTCAATGAACTCTAAACAACGCCAAATCGATTAGATCAGCTGTGGCGCTACAAGAACCAGACCGAATTACAAAGCTATTTGCAGTTGTAGAACAAAATTACCAATACAGCCTGTACGTATAATTCATAATGGGAACGGTAAAAATTAATTTGTAAAACAATAGCTAACTTTTCGTCTGCTTTCATTAGTTTCTAGTGTATTTAGTACATGATGATTAGTTTATGAACTGTAAAATAAATTTGTTTTATAGTACGATAGGAAGATGGGCAATCACTGCAATAAGAAGTCATTAGTGATAAAATTCCTATAAGATTGTGGTGTATGGAAATTTGCTTTTTGCATTGAATTTTGTTTGCCGTATAGTTATTGGTTACGAACAGCACCTCGTTAGTCTCGTTGTGACGTTCGTTGTAGAAAGTATTATCCCCATGAATTAGGCACTGTGTGAACGCAGTGCCTAATTCTTGGGAGATTATTTGTGGATTTCAATTCTTTTCGATTCCTTTTTTGTTAGAAAGTGGGTACCTCCGTATTGATATGTTAAATTTGAAGAAAATAGTCCACCTCTAAGGGTGGCAAACTAGGGGATGAATCCGACTTTTTCCGCGCGACCTTTTCCGCGCAATTTTCGGTACCCGATTTCAATAAAACTTTGCAAATAGACATTATAATTACACGAACTTCTGAGGTCGGTTTTTTATTATAAAAAAGTTATAATTAAATATTTATAATAAGTTGTAATAATGCACATTATAATAATATATAATTTAAAGTACTTCTAGATAAATTTAACGTCATATATGGGTTGATCCGTACATCCAAAGATCAAGTCATATCAACCTCGCTAACAAAGGAATATTTTTTGTGACCAGCACATTGTCTACGTGACGAAATGGTATACCGTTGTACCAAATGCGTGAAGAGGAAAAAACAGGAAAATAAGTAGCATTAAAATAGCACTGAGAATATTTCACCCTCATTATCAAAACTAACGTAATCGACATTATATCGAAATCGAGTTATTAACATATCTGGAATCAACGAAACGAGATCTATAACCCCTTCTAATCGGTTTTTTTACACCTTGTTTAGTTTCAGAGCCAAATTGTCAGCGCGCATAGGCTTCAATCGGACACATACCGCTAAACAAATTTTTGTATTTAATGCGGAGGGTGAACTGACCGAACTGCAAAGTGTGTGGGAAAGGGTGTGCATCATTTGCTCATTGAGTATGTTCGGACGGAACCTATCAGGGTGCAGTTGTTTGCAATCAACCTGATTTCTGTACATTTAAAGTTGGGTGGTTTCAATCCGTTTTGTCGGAGTCAACATGTAGGGCCGCAAAGATGACTTTATTTATTGATTTATTTATTTATTGCATCATAAGTACAGAGAATGGTATCTATAAACATGGACACTGTTAGGGTATTGCAATCTAATTATTAATTTTGTATATACTTAACTATATTATACTTAATTAACATTATTTAAGTCGGCCGCTTCAAAAAGGGTCCACTGAAAACCAGCGCTGTGGCCCCGCTGCAGTATTTCCTGAGTTGGGCCCTTTTCATTGCAATACATTTTAGGCATAAAATCTTTTAAAAAAATTTGCATACATTTTTGGTTCGGTAGTATTTTGATTTATCTGTCTGGATTTCATTAAGTGTTTTCTTGAACTATTTTTTCTAAAATCAAAGTTAAAAAAACGAGTAAACATAATAAAGAATTATCCAAAATGCATATGCGTTAGTTATGACGAGGAGGGCAGATTTGTAAACGTAAGAGGGTCGTGGGGTTGATCCTGTCTTGCACCTTTGAGTTTTTCATATGTTAAGTACGATATTTAATTTGAAATTAACAATGAGCTTTTCGGTGAAGAAAAACATCGCCAGGAAACCTGTACACATCTGCAAAGCAAGTTAATGACGTGTTTGAAGTCCCTGGACGCGGGAACTGCACCCCAAGCCCTGTCATTAATAGAGGCCTGTGCCCTAACAGCGGGACAATATACAGGCTAACTATTATTGTTATGTTTTATAATTAAGTAGCAGTAGAGGTCTTTGTGAAAGAGTTCATCCAGGGAAGTACTGTCAGCACATCTATTTCTGCCGCCAAACGGTAATGTGAGCATTACTGCGTTCCGGTTTTGAAGGATAAGGTTATTGGTGGAATTACATTGTCAATTTTGTCTCAGGGTGACAGATGTCACTACTAAACGGACGTGTGCGCAAACTCTCCATTGCTGTGCTGACAGTACTTCCCTGGATGAACTCTTTCACAAGGACCTCTACTGCTACTTAATTATAAAACATAACAAACTGCAATGGAGAGTTTGCGCACACGTCCGTTTAGTATCAGGGGGTCTACTCTCGACCTCCGTCCGACATCCGTCCGAAACAATTACTGCCAAATAAGCAATACTTGATCAAATTAAAAGACAAGTATCCAGTATGAACCTTCATTCGCATTACGCGCCCCCCTGTTCCGAATCCGAGAAATGACGGTCAGAAATTTCACAGGAACCTTTTTATCTCTAGGTA